GAGCATTTGCTCGTTTTGGAATCACGCGGCTCAGAATTACTGTCAGTTCTACTATTGATGACTTAATAACCTGACTTAACCGGGATCCTTCTTCGTCTTTATGGTGTCATTTATATGCTGTTGATATGCCGTATATATGCTGTCTTCTATGCTTATATGTTATATATGCCATTTATATGCAGCGTTATTCACATAAGTAAAGTCTTCTCCGCATTTAAAACAAACAAAACCAAAAAACAACATTTTTCTATTCCATTCATTCGCAGATTCACAACTCACACGCGCCTGCTCGCGCTATGCTCCAGAGGGCACCACTAGACCACACGACATACAAATCACACGTCACATCTTCCGTTTTTCGAAGTTATGACCGTTCACCGAGTTTGCTGCGAAGTAGGTATGGCCAACGCACGAACGGTGTTGGACTCAGTTGGATTTGTGTTTTCCGTGCAGCACGCGTAGCTTCAGCTCCTGAACGTGACTGAGGACTATGGTGAATGTAGACATGGCGTAAAACAGCGTTTTGTGCTAATTGCTGTTGTGTGACATGAAGTCCTTATCTTACTATATCTTATAGTACATAAGAATAAAATACTTATCCGTGTGTGTTGCCATCCTAAACACTTCTGTGTTTATGCTATCTTGTCCTGATGGTGATATCGAAATGCCGAGGAATTCAACAAAATCATTCGCCTCCATCTTTTTGGTGAGTCTGATCCCTGGCAGCCGGTGTTTAAATGTTCGAGGGGCTCTGGGGCATGATGCTTTTTTGACACTACGAGGGTGCATCCATATGGTTGGTTACCCAATGCTGGCAGGAAAACCCATCGCTGTATTCCGCGTTTGTTTCTGCAATCCGCCGTTGATCTGGAATTGTTTGCGAGGCATATGCGTAAGAGTCGGATAATATCTTGCACCTCCATACTCGTTCGGTTGCTTACGATGCGGTCCTTGCTGTTATTTTGTCAAGTATTTGTTCTTCCATCGTTTTGCAAACATTTTTCAGTAGGAATCAATTTGAAAAGAGACACTACATTACATGATAACATGACTTCGTCCTGCCGCGATCTTAAATGTGTGAATAAAATCAACGAAGACCTTAGAATTTGTATACGGTGATACGTGTTTCCTAGCACAGACTCTGAGAAGACACCAGCTGTTTGGATGCAGCGCAAGCAACAGAACCTATTGGGGACACCATTGCCCGTAATTGTAACCCCTGTTTATGTAACTTTAGGTAGCCCATTTAGTAATGATGTGGCAGCGTCCGATAGGTAAAGCTTGAAATATTTTGTTCGAGACTCGAGAAAGGTCTTCCCTTGCCCCTGCACTTTTAAGCAGGTCTCTGACCTTTCTGGTAAATGCTGGAGTTGGGTCTTTCCTCGACCGCTCATATGTACTTGAGTCGCTTTTTTAATCGTTCATATTTAATTGAAATTGCTCTCTTTCAAGAACGCAACCTGACTTCCCTTTCGTCCCGGAAAAAGGGAGAAGGGCTATATCCTCACCCTGTTTTAAACCACGCTCAACCTGTCTTTCTTCTAAGGCGAGGATGCCATCTGATGACTTGAGAGAAAGTAGAGATCTTGCTCCCTCAATCACAGCGCACTAGCCTCATCAACAGATAAGCTAGCTCTGCTAACCACATCTTTCGCTGTCGTGGTAGGATCTGCATCTGTTCTGTTCATTTTCGATGCAGGGAAGAAATTGATATACAGATAGATAGTCCCTAGATACATTTATTTCCATATCATTTTCCGATTGAGGCTGAAGAAGCGGTAGCGATTATTCCGAAAGCTCCCGTTCAAAATAGGCAAGCTGGTTGAAATCTGATCTGTTTTACAAGCATGCAGGGTATTTCAGAAACGAGAACAGCAAGGCCATCAAAAATGTACCCGACATTGAGCTTTATCGTATCATCAACTTGCAACCCATCAACGAATCCCGTACCCCTTGCAATGCATAGGTATGTTTTTCGCGGCCATCATCATGCCACCTATTTTGACCAATCGCAAAGTAATAACGTGGAAGATGAAGGAGATTGGTGCAAAAACTTCACAGGTCACATCTTGCGACCTTTCCCTGTAATCCCCACCCACCACGGACAGTAGCACCACCTCGCTCTCTCCGAAATGTCGGGTTCCTTCCTAAATAATGGTTCCAGCGGTGGCCGCCAGGGAATCGAGTGACCCCCCGCCCCGCCCGAGCTGTTCGGTCAAGGTCAAAATCGCCCGGTACAAAATACGGACACTAGAAGGTAGCAACAGCACGTGGTTGCGGTTTTCCCAACGAGATAATGAACTATGAGCGAAACGCTGCACTGTTTAGCATCAGAAAGGGCGGCAAATTCAGAAACTGATGCTAGCCTTTCTCTGAAGAGCTGAGCTCGAAGCGTGACCCATGTGAGAAAAGAAAAACGAAGCTTTTCGATACTTTGATCTGCTGTCTCACCTGCATTGGGGAGAGCTCTTGTGCCCGATCTTTTAATAGGTAAGCGTTGACCTCCGATACATTCAACCTCAATCTGGTGCATGCTGCGTTGGCTGGCGTGAAAGTAAAAACGACGCGGCTTTTGATACAGATCTGTCTTGTAACTGCGTTTCCAAATGTCTTAAGGTCGGGCTTATTTCGCGTGTCCGTGTTGACTGAGTTCAATATGGCAGCCGCGTCCGGGAGAAGTGCATCGCGATGTGACGTCAGACGATAGTGATGTTCCGTGACGTTTGCGCTCCCAGAATCCGTCGAGGATCTGGGCGGAGGTGTGAAGTGGATGATGTAATCAGGAGTCGCCATGTGTTCCCTGTTGATGTTGTCAAATCCTGCCAGTTTGTGAACGTTGCGTCAGATTTCGTGCTTTAGATTGACCGGATTGATCAGATTGAGCATTTATCAAGAAATGGAGTAGTGACTTCGGCAAACAGAAGAGCGGGCCGTAACGGGTTCAAGGTCGTCCAAGTACATCAGTGAGCCCTGCAGACATCTCGCGACGATGTTGTGTGGTGCTGACAACTCGTGTCACACAAATTCCCCCTAGTTATTCCCCGAGGCATACGAGCCTAGCCAAGCTACGGCTTACTATGCGAATCCGAAATGCTGTTGTCACTTGAAAAGCAGCCCCTCGTTTGACATCCGAAACTGCTTCGGGACGTCTAATAGATATTATGGATAAGATCGTGGGTGCAGTTCAGGACACAATAAAAGCCTGTCGGAGAGGTAAAATATATGTTGTAGCTGAGTACGGGCTACCGGCAGCTCTCCGCTTCGGCTTTGAAAAGAAGCCGGTTGTTGATAAAAAAACTGATGAATGCGCTCAGAAACAAGACATTCAAGTACGTCAGATGACCAAGGCAAAAACTGATCAGACTATCGTTGGTTGGCTGGGTTGCAGAAACGTTTCTGTTAAAAGTAGTCAGTAGCTACGAGTAGTTAAACCCAGGGTAAGCACTGGCGTCTTTCCAGCTGTCTAGTACCTTGCGCCCTGAAAACGACTTGTTATAAAGCTTAGATATTGGTGCAGCCATCAGAAGAGCCATCAGCTTAGTGTTTTTTACTTCGCAAATGACTCCGTCCACACTACGCATTCATATCTGAGATGTTTAGTGCCACTCGCAATGCCACCTATCACACGAAGGTGTGGTTCAAAGGGAGATGGTGAATCGACCAGAGTTTTGAACGTTTGTTGTTTTGGAAACTGGGCATTCAGGCATATGCGTTTTATTGCCTTCCGTGGTAAGGTCGCCGTTCGGTTTCTCCAATGAGGGAGCTGGAGAGCTACTGCGTCGGCTGACCGTTTTCCCCTAATTTGACGTAATATCTGTCATGTTCTGAATTATACTGATTAATTGTCGTCGCTCCTAAATCAAAAGGGACAGTTTGAACGCTTTGCCTGTGATAGTTGATCGCGCTTTGTTATCGTTTCCAGCGCTCTCCATCGTGTAGGGAGTTAGTGCATTTGACTGCATGGAACAGTCTTTCCTGGAGCGAGCGACCCGTTTTAACGTGCCCGTCACCCGATTTCTTAGCATCCCTGACGATGAGTTGACGGTTTGGAAAGGCTTTCGATGTCTCAGCTAATATGGAAGGTGCACGGTCAAATGCTACCTTACTTGAGTTCTGGTCCAGTGTTCTATCCCAGTCGGTGAAAATAAGAAGGCTCATGGGTTGCGTTAATGGATTGTCGTGTAAATAATTTACAAATGTTCTTGAACTTTGACGGTTTGGCCACTCTGAGTATGGCCAGCTTCTCAAAGCAGAACAATGCATAAGAAGTTCTTGCATCAGAGGCGTTAGTTTTGATTAGAATCACGCTTATGATGGTCATGATTGAGCAACTATTTTGTTTTTTGCCAGAATCCGTCGTCCAAACTTGCTTAAATCAACAGCGGATTGGAGCCACCATTTCAAAGGCAACGTAAATGTTGGCCATCTGAAAGCTGGGCGCGAGGCTTAGTGTCCTTATCCCTAAAAATTATGCCCTCTGCTCTTATTGCTGGCAGCGTTGTGTATGTTGCTACGGTAAGAGCGTACCGTCAGAATCTGAACATATAATCAGACGATAAGAACATGAACGCACTCCGCCGATAACGTCGAAACATCAATACCGAAGCCCAGCAATAATGGAAAATAAGCCACCCAAAGTCAATCTGCATGCGTCTCTGAATGTGACCTCTGCTACTGGCCGATCTTGACCACAAGTACATGGCTGGGCACCCCTGGATAATTGGAATTATATCATGCACGCTGCAATAGGGCCGAACACCCCTGGCCGAGTTTTATCTCGATGACGCACTCGAGGCTTATTTTATCACGCGGTGAGATAAGTCATGAGAAATCGATGTGTGGCCATGTCTGGCCTGTCGCCACACAAGGGCAGATAAGCCAGTCAGGGTGCCTGCGAACCAGGAGGTCTCGGGCAGTGACGAGCGCGTGCGCCCAGGGGCAAGGTGCTCCCTATTCAGGAGAGCGCGAAAGTGCCAGCGCGTGCTTTGTTGGTTTGGGCGCTTCCGACACAGGAGCTCTCGGACATTCGTTGGCGCGTGCCTGACCAACCAGTGAGTTCGTTGATTGAGACGATCTTTTGCGGCGGCGGTCCCATGCGTGCATCGGCGCGAGGTGCTTCTAGCTCAGGATATTTCGGCGGAGATAAACCAGCAGGCAGTCGGCCGAGCATCACCAATTCAAGAGAAGCCAGGCGGTGAAAACTGTACCCGGTGCCTCCAACAAAGACAACCCGCCACGGAGGTGACTGTGATGTGAGCTCTCAAACCTCATCAGTGCGCCGTATTCTGTCCAGTTGATCGGTAGCTGGTGACTGCGTCACAGCAGTGGACCTTCGGCACCCCGTGACGTCATCGGGGCGGGGTTCAGCGTTCTTTACTGAGCGCTAAAAGGCATCAGGCAGCTGCAAAGTGGTTTGTCTGGGTGTGAGCACCTCGGCTTCTGAGGCAGCTCTGGCCTTCAGCAGGCGTCTCACAGACACAGCTGTCAGCGGCATGTTCGACGACGGACCTCAGCTGGCCAGGCCCTAAGGCGGGGCACGGCAGCTGGACACGGTAGCAGGAGTGAGCGGCGGCCGCTCTGCGAAACCGTGCCGAAGCCACAAGCCTTGAAAGGTCAGTTGGTCACGGTGCTTCGTGTATTCTCCAATATCATCTACATGCGCTTGGACATTGGATCAGGCTGCGATCACGTGCGTTACCCACCCAGAAATTGTCACTGACAGCTACTAGCTTGCCTTGCACTGGGCATTCGAGACCTTGCTTGTCAGAACTTCGCCTGAAATCTCGCACACACCTCAAATCCAAGGCAAAGCTAGCATCCTTGTGAAATCAAGCTGCCTGACACTGTTGGCCCTAGCTGGTGGTGTGAAGCTAAACACTGCAAACCATATGCAACTTTACAACTGCTTCGCCACCAAAGGGGAACACAAGGAGCACGAGCACGAGCATGGGCACGAGCACCGAAGAGCGCAAGCTGCACTGATCAGCCCGTATATTCTGCAGTCACACTTAAACGCGTTCTACGCGTTTGCAATGTCAAATTCGCCGTGTCACGCATAAGCTTGCGACACGGGATATTTTAGCACGCGCCCGGGTGGCCGGCTACACCCTAACACGCGCCCTTCGCTCGGGTGGGGGGGGGGGTCAATTTGACCCCCTGAGATCTCGGCAACTAATAAAGCTGGAGACACCAAATTTGCAGGGTGTTTTGACCTGTACGTGAACTCAGGTAAAATTTTGAATTTCCTAGGTCATGACATTCAGGTCAAATAAGTTCAAACAAGGTCAAATTCAAGGCTGGTCACCAGAGTGCCCCCAGAACCTAGGAAAATGTTTCTAAGCAAAATTTTGAAAGCCTATTTGAGGTCAATGCCCTCGTTTGACTTTTGAAGGTCATGGTGACAAAAATCATGCAAGACTGCACTGGGTTTTGCATTTGAATAAGCGACAAAGATTAAGCCAGGCAGTATGTTCATAAAACAAAATGTCGACCCGGGTCATCTTAGATCAATGACCTATTCTGACCTCCAAGAAGTCAATAGAAGATATCTAATATGGTTCCTGTTGCCAATAAATTCGAAATGAACACCACAAACTATCCCCTTACAGCAAGCTCTAGAGTAATAAATCAGGTTGGTTTTGACCTTGGTCTGACCCTCATACCTGACCTTAGGTCAACGCAATTTTCTCATTCAGTGTTTGTAGTGTCTAAGAAAGCATCTCAGAGATGCATGGCTTCGTCAAACACTCTTATTGTATCAGATGGGACGATTCCCTAGAAATTGCCTTGGCTGAAATCATGGCCTGAATTTGACCTACAATAGGTCAGCGACCTTACATGGTACGTCTAAATTTTTGATGTCAAACGATCCGCTATTCAATTGTCTATAGCTATGCAAAATTTGGCGCGGCTACGTCGCGGCGTTCGGAAACCATTCTGGAAAAACCTTTGGGGGTTCAATTTGACCCCCACTCGAGCGCGTGTTAAGATATCTGACCCTTGTTTAACCCGCCGAACAGTATAAACCAACATAAATAAAAAAAAACTAGGCACGGAAGCCTGGTGGGGTGTTTTTTAAATGTTATGTCATGTCATGCATTTACTACGGATCATTCCATATGTATCGCTTAATGTTTGATTCGAGTCCATTGATTATAACTTACACGATAAGAACGAAGATGTGGCGATGATGAAAGCACGTCAAGAACTTGCAAAGGGCCTTCAATATCAAACAAAGCCCTCTTTTCCCACATTGGTCAAGTATGGACATGAGTGCATCACGGCTCCGGGACGTTCTAACGGCCGGCGGCAGGTGGTTCTAGGGCGAGGCCGCACGTTATGAAAACACATTCCGCTACAAAGACAACCGGAAAGGGACAGCTCCAAAGCGTCGGCCACCGCCGACCTCGTGATGCGCAAACTCACAGCGGTTCGAGGGGCGAACAGCGACCGAACCGCCATCGGGATACGGCGGTCATGTAGAGCCCTGAGGACGTCCATATCCAACGTCGACATATCCAACGACGCAACGTCCAACAAATCACTGACTGCGCGCCAGCCCAATGACCTTACGACCGGCGAAATATGATCTCGACCCCGCGCCGCCGAGACGATCCTGACCGCGCGAAATTCACGATTGTTTGCACCCGTCCGAGATAGTGGCCCCGTCCCAGACTGGAAGGCAGTAGAAGATGTGGGGGAAAGCATCGATCTGGATGAGGAGCCTGTGAGCTTCAGGTGTGAGATGATGACGAATTTTGTATTGGCAAAACAGGATAGAGTTGCACTTTTTAACCAATTTGGATATATGCTCATCCGAGGAAAGCGTACGACTGAGGGTCACTCCAGCATCTTGAAGGACGATGAGGGGTTGGCTTAAGTTGGAGTAGTCAAGGTGAAAGGATACGGTTTTTTGATGACCTGAGGCGATGACCTGATGACCTGAGGCGTGCCGACCAGAATAAGGATGGTCTTGGTAGGGTTCATTTTCAGAGAATTGGCTGTAAAGCAGCATTGGAGGGCAAGGATAGTTTCCTCATGACGGAGCTTCAGGGTGGACGGATGGTCGGGGAGGGCGGAGTCAAGGAGTTAATTATCGTCATCGCAGGGAACCAGGCGCCTGTGAGGCAGGTAGAATGGAAAGTCGTTTGTGAGGGTGCTGAAGAGGACGGGTCCACCAGCGACCCCTGAGGAACACCCTGGGACAAGAGAAGTGATGGGGAACCACCTCTGACCACCCACTGTCGTCCTTCAAGAAAACTTGTACATCATCAGGGATCGATGCCGTATCTGTACTGGAGCACTGCAGCTTGGTCAGAAGGACGCCGTGGTCAACGCTGTCGAAGGTTCGACTGGGGTCTACGGAGGCGACGGCAACGACATGTCCGGTGTCGATTCGACGCACCATCCACTCCACGGCGTCGAATACGGCGTCGACCACGGCGTCCTCCATTGAATGCCACGACCTTCACGCATGCTGTAAGTGGTTAAGAGGCCGTGGACATCAAGACAAGCCGACAACGGCTGACAGACAACCTTTTCGCGTCTTTTCGACGACACGGATAAAATCGATATAGACCCAAAATTGCTGGCAACGTCACGTGCACCGAACTTGTGAAGGAGAAAAACTGAAGCTAACTTCCACGTACAGGGGAAGACGCGGGTGACAATGAAAGAGGTGACTGGGTGAAGGAAGTGAGTTCCTATGACAGCGAAATAGTTTTTAGCGCAAGCAGCGGTACACCATCGACTCCAACAGCTCTAGATGACCGTGTTTGAATGCATTTGAATACAAATGCAAATGCATTTGAAACCAGCAAATCATGAAATTTGCAGTAGCTCGGTTCCAGCATTTGTTCAACCTTTAGAGTTTGGAACGCCTGTTTTTCACAGATCACTATTGGTGGCCTCTTCGTCGATGTCATGCCGTTTGCATTTCATGGTTATGTGCTCGACAATTGACATTCGCCATAGGATTCGTATTTTAAGACTCTTCCGCAATGATCTACTGCATCACATCACACTAGATCATGATGATGTGCTTCTACTAAATGTCCTGTATTTCGTGTAAGGCTTCTCAAGCTCAAGTCAGGTGATTTACGCCAAGCGATAGAACATTTGTAAAAACCATACGTTTGACGTTTCATTGCCCAGCTATCTCACTTCTCCTTGGTCGATATTCCATGTAGTTGTACAAGCGACATCAGAGTCGCTTGCTTCTTACGGTACCACGCTTTGCTCTCGAGGTATCGAGGTGGACTGAAATCTAAAGGTTTTGCGCAACATGACATGGTTCGACATGCCGTGGGGTCGACGTGCCATGGCCCCAAATATGGTGCTACTGTTGTGCCATCCACCGCGCAAGGACTGTATAGCATGGCTTCATCCTACTAAGGTCTTTATGCTGGCAGATCCGATTACAGCACCTCCATGATGTGACATTCCACGTATTCAATGGAAGCTGCTCTGCGATAAGGCACCGTAAAACTATGCTATTTTGAAAGGCGTAGGACAACTGCATGACCTTTCGAAACCGGCTGGCATCTCTTGAGGTGGCCCTAGCCGCGGTGTTATACTGTCCGGCACACCATGAGGGCATTTAAGCCTAGATGTGACCAGGCGCTCAACCGGGATGCACACGAGTCAGCACGTCGCTTTGTGGTATTGCATGACGCTTCGATACGCAATTCGGCATACGAAGCTTTGCATCGCGCTAAGCATTGACGAATTCTGCTTTTAGTTCATCCTTTGTCGTGATATACCCTTCGTAATCAGTCATTAATTCAGGAACTATCAAATGTTTTAGCGCCGTTCCGCTATGCGATCAAGGTTTGGCAGTGCTAAGCTGACATGGCATCACCAAATAAGACGTGACACTTTTATGTTTGGTCTCGGACAGGGAGAAGCCATAGAAAACCGGACTTGAAGATATTAAGGTTTTAACATTGAGCAACATTGCATAGTTGCAGTGGCATGGCCTGCGATCAGAAAGGTGCGTCTAAAATCGGAAATATTCACCTCCGCCGAGATACACTGCCTAAGTTTGTGAACTACATTTATCCAACATGTTCGAGGATTTCCACGAATGAAGGGGATAGTCACCTGGTCATGCACGAACCATATTTGGTAAGATGAAGTGGTTGCGGTTTTATGCCAAAGATGACACCATTTATAGGTGTGCTCATTTCTCTGAGATTGAGGAGGGAGACAGATCAGTGTTAGTGTGTCCGACCGAAATCTGGACAGGTTTTCAAGGGAGGAAGAAAATCCTGGCTGTGCCTTTGGTTCGCTGTAAGGACCCCAGTGATGCAACCACTCGTATATTACAGCATTTTAGCATTTCCCGCTTCCTGAACAGTAGGAGTTTTGACAATGCCCGTTCCGCCAGTGTGAGCTCATTTTTAGTCCTGACTTATCTTCGGCGGCGGCCGCTGCGGGAAAGAGTTGACACTGATGTCAGTCCCCATGTCAGGACATCATGGCAGAAGGGCTTCCGCGAGCTTGAGCATGACAACCTCGTGGGTCGATACACAATCACGCACGCTTCCGATTCGGAAACGGTGTCATATCCATAAAAGAAGAAAGCGCATCGATGTCCATTACCAATATTTTT